GAAGGAGGAAAGGGAGGAAGCGGCGAAGGCACTGGGGGATGGAGTTCCAGAGCCTGGGGGCTGAGAGGCTGAAGGCCCGACCACCGATGGTAGGGCGATTGGGGCGGGGGACGTGGAGCAGACCGGAGCCAGAGGAACGGAGGGTACGGGCAGGTAGGTAGGGGGATAGTAGGTTGGAGAGGTAGGAGGGAGCAAGGCCGTGAATGGCCTTGTAGGTGAGGATGAGGATCTTGAAATCAATCCTCTGGGGGATGGGGAGCCAGTGGAGGCGAGCGAGGGTGGGAGTGATGTGGTCCCGAAGCCTGGTGCGGGACAGTACACGAGCTGCAGAGTTCTGAATGACCTGCAGCTTGTGGAGGGAGGTGGCGGGAAGGCCGGCGAGGAGAGAGTTCCCATAGTCCAGCCTTGAGGTGACAAAGGCGTGACCAGGGTTTCAGCAGCGTGAGGGGTGAGGTAATGCCGTAGTCTGGCGATGTTCCGGAGGTGATGGAAGGCGGTGCCAGTTGTGGTGCGGATGTGAGGGAGAAAGGACAGCTCAGGGTCGAACAAAACGCCGAGGTTCCTGACTGGCTTTGAGAGGTGGAGAGTGCAGCCTTGGATGCTGATGGTGTCAGCGCCTGAGGTGCGGAGGCGCTGACGTGAGCCAATCAGGAGGGCCTCGGTTTTTCGCACGTTGAGCTGAAGAAAGTTGTCTCTCGTCCAGGACTCGATGTCGGACAGGCAGCTGTCAGGACATCGGTGGTCGTGGAGTTGAGAGTAGAGGAGGAAAGGTAGAGTTGGGTGTCATCCGCATACATGTGGAAGTTAACTCCATGTCTGCGGATGATGTCACCAAGGGGGAGCATATAGAGGGTGAAGAGGAGGGGACCGAGGACAGAGCCCTGAGGGACACCACATGAGACAGTACGGGGGGTGGAGGAGAAGCCATTCGTCGAGACAAAGTGAAGACGGTGAGAAAGGTACGACCTAAACCATTCAAGGACAGTGCCTTGAAGGTTGAGGTGGGAGGACAAGCGGTGGAGTAGGATAGCGTGGTCGACCGTATCGAATGCTGCCGATAGGTCGAGGAGGACGAGGAGGCAGAGGGAGCCCTGGTCACAGATGGTCAGGATATCATTGGTGACCTTGACCAGGGCAGTTTCTGTGCTATGGGCAGCACGGAAACCTGACTGAAGGGGTTCGAAAAGTGAATGGGTGGAAAGGAAAGAGCGCAGTTGGGAGGCGACAACTCTTTCCAGGACCTTGGAGAGAAAGGGGAGGTTGGAGATGGGCCGGTAGCTTGATAGCTGCGACGCATCAAGGGAGGGTTTTTTCAGGGTGGGCGTGATGGTGGCAGTTTTTAAGGGAATGGGGACAGAGCCAGAGGAGAGGGACAGGTTGATGATGTCGGTGATATGTGGGGCAAGAAAGTGGAGCTGGGAGATAAGGAGTGGAGTGGGGATGGGGTCAAGGGAGCAGGTGGTGGGTTTTAGGGATAGGATGAGTTTAGTGACAGAGGGTGGGGAAACGGGTACAAAAGTGAGTAGGGGAGGATGGGTAGCAGTCGGAGTGTAGGAGTGAGGGGGTGGGGGGTTGGTGGATGTTGGAGGGGAAGTGACCGCGGAGCGAATTCCCTTGATCTTGGATTCAAGGAAATCCAACATCTCCTCAGAAAGATATATTAGCTCTGGGGGGAGGGGGTTCAGTGCAGATTCACCAGAATAATACCAGGGCTTAAAGGGTTAAATTATGGGGACAGATTGCATAAACTTGGTCTCTACTTCCTTGAGTTTAGCAGGTTAAAGGGTAATCAGATTGAGGTTCTTAAAATAATAAGGGATTGGATAGGGTAGATACAGTGAAACTATTTTCTCTGGTGGGGGAATCCAGAACAAGGGGGCATAATCTTAAAATTAGAGTTAGGCCATTTAGGAGCGAAATTAGGAGGCAGTTTTTCATCCAAAGGGTAGCGGAAACCTGGAACTCTCTGCCCCAAAGGCTGTGGATGCTGGATCCATTCACATTTTTCAAACTGAGATGAAAAGATATTTGTCAGGTCAGGGTATCAAGGCATATGGGGCAAGGGCAGATAATTGGAGTTGAGGTACACTGATAAGCCATGATATTATAAAATGGTGGAACAGGCTCGAGGGGCTAAATGGCCTACTCCTGTTTCTATGTTTCTGTGACTACGAAGAGCTATTAGATAAAGTGGCCATGTTCACACTGGAGAAGAGATGGTTGAGTGGCGATATGATTATGGTCTTTAAGATTCTGAAGGGAGTAGATAATGTAGACCATGATAAGCTGTTTTATCTTGTACTGAACAGTAGAACCAGAAGGACACGGCCTGCAATTAAAGGGGGGTAAATTCAAAACAAATCTGAGGAAACACTACTTCAGTGAGTGTCTGATACAAGTGGAACAGGCTCCCTAGGGAGATAGTGGAAGCAGAATATGTTGTTTGTTTCGAGAACAAATTATATATTAGATTAGAGAACAAATTAGATTATTTCTGCTAGAAAATAATACCTCAGGATACAGTATATAATATGGAACACGACATGTCAAGCAATTGCCAGGATGGTGGAAGGTGAACAAGATGGACCTTGGTCTTCTTTCTCCTAGAAATGCTTATGTTCTTATGTTCTAACACATCCTGTCTGGAGTGGCTGAGCTCGATCTCTAACAATAATAATAATAATAATAATAATCCTTGCATTTGATATAGCGCTTTTCATTCTTCTAGACGTCTCAAAGCGCTTCACAGAATAGACTGAAAAGTGAATTGACTGTATATTTGTGGGCGAAACGCGGCAGCCAATTGCGCACAGCAATGTCCCACAAACAGTCGTGGATTGAAGTGACCAATTTATCATTGTTTTGTTTTGGAGGGATTATTATTAGGCGTGTGGGGTAAGGAAACTTGCCCAAGGTTTCGCCCTGCAGGGGAATTGAACTCAGGTGTCTCGCTTGCAAGGCGAGTGCTCTAACCACCAGGCTACAGGAAATCTGCAATCCTCACATGGTCGTTTTTGGTGATGGAAAAAATCCAAACATAAGGGCAACATAAGAGCTGAAGTGGCTTTACTCAGCAGCAAGAGAAATAACAAGTCCTTTTAACGGAACTGGGACTTAAATATTTTAGAGTCCCGTAACATATTGGTTAGACCACTTGCCTCATGAGCGAGAGGACCCGGGTTCAATCCCCCAGCGGGTTGAAACCTTAGGCAAGTTCTGTGCCTGTGCCCATTCTGTGATAAGGAACCAGTGGAGTTTGGCGAGGACTGGTTTGATGGGGTACAGAGTTAAGTGCGGTTGAGAATATAGGCAGCGCAGTTCTGAAACATACATTCTCACCTCCCAAGGATCGGGCTATTGCACGGATGAAATGTACTCTTGAAAATGTCTGAATCATGTTTAATGGACTGAACCCAACGACAAAGTCTGTTATCCAACAGGGAATTTATTCAAACTAGTTCAAACCCACCCCCAAATAAACTCTAAAAAAAACCTGCCGATGATAACTAGGAGCCAGCAAAGGTTGTAACCAGTTCCAGGTACAAAGTCCTCCACTTAGGGTCATATTAGAATACATGGAGACATAAAAGGTTGGTTTGTCCGTCCCACATTACAGGAAGACCTGGGTTTGATTCCTGGGCAGGGCAAAACCTTAGGCAAGTTTCCTTACTCCACACACCTCTGTTTACCTAGCAGTAAGTAGGAACTGATTGGCAGATTGCTTTCCGGAGGTAATAATCCCTTAAAAAAAATAGAAAAAAAATAATAATTGGGTCACTCAATCACAACTGTTTGGGGACACTGCTGTGCACAATTGCCTGCCCCATTTTGCCCACAAAATACAGTCAATACACTTTATAGTATAATCTGCGCTTTGACATGTCTCGATGACGTGATAAAGTGCTATATCAAATGCGAGAACTACAGGGTTCTTCTGCAAAGGTGCAATGGATTTTTCTACAACATCCCGGTTAAACACAATATCTGGAGAGAGGAGGCATCTCTATTTCACACTAGTACAGGGAATCTAAATACAGCTGGTTACTATGGCAGCTAAATCTCCTTTGAATAAGCTGTTCTCATTTTGTCAGACAAAGCCCATCGATTGAATTTTGGCTTCAGAGTTGCGCCAGGGCATATTTACTCCATCATAACCAAGCCTCGAGCTGCGTACACTGTACTGCATTGAGACCATGTGAGATTCAAGAGATCTGGATACAGTCCAAAAACACTTCCCAAGAATTTTAACGTTTCAAGTTTTCTGCAAGAAGTCAGGACTTGCAATTCATATAGTCTAAGCTGACACTCCAATGCAGTGCTGAAGGGGGAAACGCTGCATGATCGGAAGTGCCAACCTTCCAATGAGATGCTTTCAGCGTCTTGGGACGTCCTCCTGACGTGAAAGGTGCTATACAAATGTAAGTTGTTGTTGTTGATCCGAATTCCTGTTTGCTCATTCAGGTGGACATTAAAGATCCTGTTGGCACTACTCACTAAAAGAGAAGGGAATTTCTCCTGGTGTCCTGGCCGACAATCCCCCAAATCAACCTGAAAACCAGCTCATTCTTTGTTTGTTTGGTATACTCTATCCTCAGTTTATATCAAGACGAGAGCAGACATCAACTTAGAAACAAGTCAAAACTTTTTGTTCACCTACACAACTCTACGGGTGTCTGAAACAAACAAGCACACACAGTAATCACCATGCACAAGCAGAGTGTTTGACCAGTTTTACCCAGAGCAATGAACCAGGATGCTTTTACATTGAATCGCATGTTCAACATTTATTTGCAAACACTGGAAAGAAACGAAGACTATAGACCGAAAGATCTATCGCAGAGATTTTAATTGTACTTCCGCTGTAATTACTGATAGCACAGGTATTGCCTGTATAAAATACTTTAGAAGGAATTTTCCATTTACAGCTATTTCCTCCTTTCAAATCCAATTCAGAGGGATTGAGTCCGGCATCTATTAAAATAATCAGACCCGTTACTGACCTTTTGAATGCACGTCCCGTATTGATTCGTGTCTCTTGATTGCTGACCTTTGATACACCACATGTGTTCTCCCACCTTCCTCTTTCTCCTCTTCCTCCTCTGTGCCTTTCTCCAGAGGCTCAATGAAGAATTCTCCCTGGTCAGTTCGGATCACGCCAGCCTGAAGAGACAGGACCGGAGGGGGGGGTCACTCACTCTCTCACACGGAGATGCTCGTCAAGCGTCACTCACACCCCCAGCCCATGTTCGTACACACGCGGATTACCCATGCGACATCAGCTGTCACTTTCCAGTGCACTCGACTCGCAAGCGAAAGGACCCAGGTTCGATTCCCAGGCAGGGCAAAACCTTAGGCAAGTTTCCTTGCTCCACACACATCCGTTTACCTGGCAAGTAGGAATCCAGTTGTTAATCGATTGGCAGATCGCTTTCCGGGGGCAATATTCCCTAAAATAAAATTGGTCACTCAATCCACGACTGTTTGTGGGACACTGCTGTGTGCAATTGACTGCCATGTTTCACCCACAAAATACAAAGTCGATCCACTTTACAAAATATTCTGTGATGCGCTTTGAGACGTCTCAACGACGTAATAAGGTGCCATATCAAATGCAAGGATTATTATTATTAAATCCAGCCATGTCGTTGAAACCTCTCAATAATTTCCCAATTAGTGTCCTCCCGTCCCAATGTGCAGACTAATCCCCCCACCCCCCACCCACTCCCCAGACCATTGTCACAAAGCACCAACAATGAAGCAATTACAATCTCTGAGATTTTTTTGTCTCCCGTCCAAAAAGAGACGTGGACCGAAATCCAAAAATCTGAACCAGGAAAGACTGAAGTTCTGCCAAACCAAACAGATGGTTGATATCAAAAACAGTGATCAGATCCACAATAATAAGCTACACATGGTTTTCAGAACTTTAGGGGGAACTGGGGGGATGTCTCCTGTTTGCACACAGGCTGTGGAAGGACTCATCCTGATGGGACTTTCTCAGTTTTCAGTCTGTTGACAAGCAATGAAAACAGCCCCATCGAAGACATAGATTTTGGCAACAATTTGGCTCCAAGCCTCAGGGTGTGTGGGATTTGAAGCCAAGCTGTTCGTGGTGGGGGGGGAGAAATCACACGAGTGGGTTCTGGAAAGGGGATTAATAGGGGAATGAGTAGCAGACTGTGCCAGTCACCGCAACAGCAACTTGCATTTGCACAGCGTCTTTCACACGCGTGGGGTCTCGGAGCGACGCACAGACACGTAATCACAAACATTATTATCACAATATGAAGCCATTCACATGTCTGCAGTGTGCAAATTGGCTGCCCACAAATACAGTCACTACATTCAGTGACAAGTGTAGTTAAGGCGTTTGATAATGTGATAAGGCACTATATCAAACACAAGGTTAGTTATATTCTCATTCAGCTCTTGAAAGCACTATCCATTTACTGCCATTCTCCTGCTGTTCCCCATTCCCCTCACTCACATATCTGTTGAAATAGTGAGAAGAGAAATAGAACTGTAATATCAGGCTCCAATCATATAAACCCCTTGTAAATGAGAGAGCCACAGATTATTACAAACCACAGCCAGCTCATTTTATGACCCACTCTTTCAGTTTTAAGGCAAGGGTGTTTTCAATTATCTTATTTTTACTTAAGGTGGTTCAGCAAGCCATAAAGCACTAAGATGTATTTCACATCCCAAGGAAACCAGAACACAAGAAGCAAGCCAACATCAAGCTTTTATATAAAGACTTTGGAGGGGAAGAGGGGAAAGGTAAGCAGCTGTGTAGTTCTCAAGAGTTTTGTTAGAAAAGCTCTTAAGCGCAGAACCCTTACAATTGGTACACTTCATCTTCTACAGATATCCAATCTCCTTCATAAACTGAGTTAAAAGCATCCGAGAAGGATATTTATGCTGAGCTGTTATGTTTCTGCTATCTCGCAGTTGCTTTGCATTTGTTAATTTTACTATGTATTTCATTTCGCCCACAAAATATACAGTCAATTCACTTCAGAGTATATCCTGTGAAGGGCTGTATGACATCTCAACAAAGTGATGAGGCGCTATATCAAAACCAAGGATTATTATTTGAATTAGAGAGAGATGCCGTGAAGATTAATGAGGGGTCTCGGAGATGGAAGTGTGTGAGTGTGTGTGGTGGGGGATGGGCGTAGGGAGTGAGGAAAGGAGAGCAACTCTAGAGAAATAGCATGATTTCAGAGATGAAAATACTTGCGTTTCAGTGAGACAATGAGGTTCTCGAGAATCTCACTGTCTGGAGCGGGGAAGAGTAGCGACCCCAACTCCTGGGCCTGTGAGAGGAAAAAAGACTGAAAGGCTAAAGTTATCCGAAGACCAATTTACCACAAGCCCAGTGCTTGCCACCCAAAGTGTCATTGGCGGAGGATTGTGAGCAGATTGTTTGATTTCCGCCTTGGCTGCAGAGCAGCTAAAAAACAAATAACACCCTTTGCAAATCTGGTTATCTCAATGCTAAACCTTGAGAACAAGGGAGACTTAAAATGCCACCTCATCTTAGCCTTTAAGACCATCGCATCTTAAAATTTAACACAGTGCAAAATTTTGAGAAAGAATCTTAAATTCAGTCTTAATTTTACATTTTCTATTGGGCTTCGCAATTTCCTACAGTGACACGTTTTTGTTTTCAACAGGAGCACAGCAATGGCTCAGTGTTAAAAACAACGGCAACTTGCATCTATACGGCTCTCTTCATGCCTTTCAGAGTGCTGGACGATGGCAGAGTTTGATGCAGAGGCGAGGGAGAGAATGGGGAGCGAGTGACCGTAGACATAGTCAAAGAAGAAGGAAAAAAAATAATGTGCACGACAGCTTAGAACAATGTACCGCTCATTAAAAGGTTTCTTGCATGGGTTTAACCTCGGAATTAACCTAAGTTACAGGCGATACTTTAACATTTCCGTTTGCACTCACAAAGCAGCAGTGCTTCCTGCAGAGAGATCAATGCTGTATGCTCAGCGGGTGGTGTGGATCAAACTTCTTCTGTTCCAATTAACCATTTACACACTTCAAAATCAAACGTTCAATCTTTTGCGGAAACCATCTCTTGACACCTCTCACTCATTTTTTGGCTAGCGCCAACACTCATCATCTAAAAACCTATACAATTGTGTTAATGAAGGCTTCTTGCGCCTGATATGCAGTGCCTCTCTCCCGGGAGGTATCACTGCTGAAGAAATCATTTACAAACCAGTTGATAACTAGTCCTGGCCTTCCAAACCGTGGGCATCCCCTTCTGAAATACACTTCATCACTTTTCTCCAGCTCAATCTCTCCTACATCCTGATGGGTTTTATTGTCCGTCACACCCGGGTGATAATAATAATAGTAATAATAATCTTTCCATTTCATACAGTGCATTATCATGTCTTCGAGACGACTCAAAGTGTAACTCAGCATCTTAAAAAGTTTAGCATTTCCTTCCTAACCAGGTAGTGGAGTTCCAAGTCTCCAAACCTTCCCTTCATTAACTCAGCGAGTTTCATCACCGTGCAGGCTAACCAGCCACTACATAGCGCTTGTCCCACCTGAACTCCGCCACCTGCTAGCTGATCATGTGCTTGCACTGACATCAGCAACGGTCAATCCCCAATGGCTTCCTCAACCAATGTGGACCTCGGACACACTTGTGATGCTCCATTTACATGCAAAGATTTTTTGCCATTGTAGGGAGACTTTCTCAAAACGCTTCACATGATTCATTGTAATGTGTAATGACTTTATTTGCCTATAAATCGCACAGTGCAGCAAATCCTATGAAACACTTTGAGATGTTCTCCCAACATGAAGAACACGAAAGGTTCTTATATCAAATGCAAAGGATTATTATTTATTTTGCACTCACTTCAAATGTACACTCAGCTAAAGAGGTAGGAATATATGCTATAAGATAAGAGGCCAAAATCCCCCTGCAGAACAGAGTAGGATTCATATAACCCGACTCCGACAACCGCAAAAACAGATCAAGAGATAAAGAGACCAGAGAAATGTGCAATACATGAAGATCCATCACAACAAAATCAATGTTAAATCTAAGTGTATGTATCATTGCTCACATGAGGTTAACATCCCACGGAACCACAATCCAGTTTGATTTGGTGTTTCTGCATAGACAACTGATGAGAGAAGATAGTGCTGTAAAGTATTTCCATGTTCTCCAATCACAATGTATGATTGGTGTGATTGCTGGTATCACATGGGGTTATTTGGTCAAGTCAAGTGATAAAATTGGTCATTCGCTTCAAGGCTGTTTGCAGGAATTTGCTGTGCAGAACATTGGCTGCCGCGTTCACCTACAAAATACATTACACTTTACAGTACGATGCTGTGAAGCGTTTTGAGACGTTCTCCCAATGTGTCATATCAAATGCAAGGATTATTATTACTTTCTGTTCGGGTCTATGACTTCACAAGGCTGAAACTACACTTCACAACTGAGATCTCAGTTCAGGTCAAGAACACAATATTTGTGACTTTCAATAATCCTTGAATTTGATATAGTGTCTCAAAGAGCTTCGCAGAAATGACTAACATGGAGTAACTGTGTATTCGTAGGCGAATTCCTACATTTGTAGGTTTGTCTAATATGTTAAATATTGACAAACACGGCAGCCAATTTGTGCACAGCAATGACCACCCACCCCCCCACCAAACAGCCGTATGAAATGAGTAAATGACCAATTTCATCAATTTTATCTGAACCTGGGCAAATTGGTTGCCAGTCTCAATGATATCCGATGACTCAGGCAAATTTTTTGGATGCTGAAATGAATTTAGCAAAGAAAGCAGTCAAAAAATACCAGTGCCATTTGTCCCCAAGATGCTTATCCCCAGATTGGAATATCATTGGTTCAAAAACCATTTAAATATACAAGCAGCTGCCAGGCATGGCAGATCCTTACTTGTTTGGAATCACTATACTAATTATGGACGGAGTGCCTAAAGCATTAGAAAATGTGCATATCTGGTGATTTAAATTAACTGTTGCCTATCTTTAATGAAACATACACTTCAAAGCATATTTGGGCCCTAAAGCTATATACAGTATAAACACAGGTAGCACATCTCATATTACTTTCTAAACCTCCAAACATCTCTCTCCAAAAATAAATAAT